CACTGTCTTCAGGTCTGGAGGGTTTTGTTTGGCAAATCATCTGTAAATCTTATTTGGGGGAATGGGTAATGGGTAGGGCACACCCTGCAATGCCTAGAGGTTATCCCAGGCTTTGTGCTCAGGAATTACTCCTGGCAGTTATTCAAGGAACCATATGGGAGGCTGGGGATTGGCTGGCTGCATGCAAGGCAAGCACCATACCCATTGTACTATTGCTCTGATCCCAATCTGCTGTAAATCTTAAGGATTCTTTGTATATAATTTCTTTCTTTGGTCTTGGCTGCCTTCAGTATTCTATCTCTATGTTTTTCATCATTCTGATTAGGATGTATGTTAGAATATTTTTATTTGGATTTCTTTTAACTGATACCCTTCAGATCTCTGGACCTGTACACATGCACTATTCAGCTCTGGGAACTCTCAGCAATGATGCTTTTGACTATTGCTTCTTCATCAGGGTGGCCTTCCTGGCCCTCTGAGACCCCAATGATTTTTAATGTTGTTCCTCTTGGATTCATCCCAAAATTCTCTTGTCAATTGTTTGTTTATTTTGAGACTTTCTTTCACATTCTGCTGTTGTCTGTAGGTTTTCTGCACTTCATCTTGAAGCTCATGGATTTTGTCCTCAGCAGCTGAGGCCTTCTGCTGCTGAGGCCTTCCCGTGAGTTTTTCATTTCATCTAATAAGTTTTTTAGTTTGTCACTTGTAGTTTCCTCATTTCTGCTCTCGTCTCCTGTGGTTTTATTGAAAGTCCATTCCATTGTTTCTTTGAGCTCCTTATACATCCTCAGCATTTCCTCTCTAAAGTCCTTATCGGAGAGGTTTTAGAACTCATCATTCCTGGCAGAGTCTATAGGGCTAATCTGGTGGGGGTTCTGTGCTGCTTTCCCATTGTGACTTTTTGCAGGTCTGGAGGTGTTTCTTGTATGTTTTTGTGTGGCTAGGTGACTTGGGTCAGGATGTCTTTGTATGCTCACATGAGACACAAAGAGGCAAAGAAATGAAGAAGTGCACAGCTGAGCGCTCTTCGTGGCCAAGGGGTGGAGGAATCCTGACCGGAAGGGCAAAACAGCGCTTCTGAGTACCAGGCAGGGCCCCCACGCCACCTCATTGCCTCAGTTCCCTGGGACTGGGATTCTCCTCGGGCATTTGAGAGGTAAGGATACCAGGAACTGTAGGCATGGTCCAACCTACAGGGGGGTGCAGGGGGAGACGAAGGACAGCAGAGGGCTGGCAGTTTTCTTGGTTATGAGTCAGTGCCACAGCCAGCCCTTGAGGCAGTCACCAGACTTTCATATTTGTTGTTGTGATGATGGGGTCCCACGCATGCCTTGCTAGGGTGCTCTTCAGACTCACACAGCAGGTTGCGTTGCTCACACACTCTTCTGTAGTGCTCACTGAGGTCCATGCTCCTTTTGTTGTGGTGCTTGATGCATGCTCACCAGGAGACACACTTAGTCAACACACACGGGTTCTGGTTCCAGTGCTCACTGGGAATCATGGGGTGTACACACAAAAGCTTGTTAGAGTCATACTTCCTGGCCGCCGCATTCACCCAGCTCTTTAGTTGCAGTGCTCATTCTGAGTTTGCACCCTGGTGGTGATTACTCACACACACCTGGCTGTGATGAAGCCAAAAGTCACTGGTGGTGTCAGGAATCACAGACGCAGAGCTGCTACGACCATGCTTGGTGCATATAGGACACCAGGGATTTGAACTTGTGACCATATACTGGCAAGGCTGGTGATCTAAGTGCCTATACTCTTTTTCCGGGCTGACATTAAATTGCATCAGACAGTAAAGTTTTGATCAGTGACTCCACCCATCACCTCAGTTTTTAGCTGCCTCTTTTTATATTTAGAGAGAAGTAAAATATATTTTTTACATACAAATTTCAAGCGTTATGGGAATACTAAACAAATATTAAGTGAATAGCTCTGTTATCCTATCAACTCATGGACAACTACTGTTAGCAGTTGTGACTATTAGTATGAATTTAAAAATATGTATACTTAATATAAGTTACTCCCTTTCCATCTTAATATTATAGATTTTTTTTTGGTTCACACCTGGTGATGCATAGGGGTTACTCTTGGCTCATGCATTCAGGAATTACTCCTGGCTGTGCTCAGGGGACCATATGCGATGCTGGGAATTGGACCCGGGTCGGCCATGTGCAAGGCGAATGCCCTACCCACCGTGCTATCATTCCAGACCCAATATTATAGATTTTAAATAAAAATATTATACTCATTTATACTAGGTATTGGGTGGGGGAAGTTCCCAAGTATTACTTAGGAGACCTGGGGCACTCCTTTTTTTTTTTTTTGGCTTTTTGGGTCACACCTGGAGATGCACAGGGGTTACTCCTGGCTCTGCACTCAGGAATTACCCCTGGCGGTGCTCAAGGGACTATATGGGATGCTGGGAATCGAACCCAGATTGACCGCGTGGAAGGCAAACGCCCTACCCGTGTGCTATTGCTCCAGCTGGGGCACTCCTTTTGATATTCTTTTCTTGTGGGGAAGGTTTTGGACCACACTCAGCAGTGTTCAGGGCTTACTCCTGGCCTCATGCTCAGGTCTCACTCCTGGTGTACTTCGAGAATCATATGCAAGGGGCCAAATTAGGGTCGCTGCATGCAAGGCAAGCACCATCCCCCCTGTACTACCTTCCTGGCCCTGAAATACTGTATTCAGTCAGTTAGACTAGATAATTCAATGCTCAAGATCAGCAATGCAGTACTACTCTGACCCAGTGGCTCCAGGGACCACTAGGGCAGCCCTGGCAATGTTTGGGAGACACCAATGCTACTTCCTGTGGTGCTCAGGTCCTCCAGGGCTACACCTGATGGTGCTGGGGAGCCATGAGATGTCAAAGTTCCAAGTTGATTTCTGGAACATGCCAAGCATGTATCCCTGCTCACTGAGTTAATCTCCTAGCTTCTGTGTAATACGTTCGTTTTGGTTTTAGTTTTGAGGTCACACCCAGTGGTACTTGGGCTCATCCCAGTTTGGTACTCAGGGACCACATCTAGTGGTACCCATGAGGCCATGCAGTGTGATCCACCAGGGGCTCTAGCATGCAAAACAGAACTTAGTCCTTCGAGCTATTTCCCTCACCCCCATACTGGGTGTTTTGTATGTATGTGCATGGGTTTTCTTTTTTTAACTAGGTCTTTTAAAATATTACTATTAACTTTGGGGCTACTTTGATTTGGGGCCACACAGCAGTGCTTACTCCCAGATCATCACTCAGGGGTTGCTCCAGGCAGTGCTCATGAGACCAAGTGCTGCCTGTGGTCAAACCTGGGCCTCTTGCGTGCAATGTATCTGCTTTAGCCTGTTGATATCTCCTGGCCCTGAAACACTTTTTATGATGGCCGATAGAAATATAAGTCAAAACAAAACAAACTGTCCTCCCGTTGTTCATCGATTTGCTTGAGTGAGCCCAGTAATGTCTCCATTTTGAGACTTGTTGTTACTGTGTTTGGCATATTGAATACTTCACTGGAAACTTGCCAAGCTTTGCCGTGCAACTGAGATACTCTCAGTAGCTTACCGGGCCCTCCGAGAGGGGTGAAGGAATCGAACCCGGCTTGGCCGGGCTAGCTGCACGCAAGGCAAACACCCTACCACCGTGCTAGCGCTCCAGTCGCTTCTCAGCCTTTTGGCTAAGATAAAGTGAAATATAAGTCATTAATTTAAAAAAAAATTAGTTTGAGACTGGAGAGATAGAGGTTAAGGGTTTTTCCTTATACCAGCCAACCCCAGTTTGAATCCCTGGTACCACATATGGTCCCTCAAGAACCTCCAGGAGTGAGCCCCTAACATAAAGTTAGGACTAAGCCCTGAGCACCACTAGGTGTGACCCAAAAATGGAAAGTATAGTTTTAATAATTACATTTTTCCACTTTGACTTATATTGTAATTTATTTCCAGACACAAGGGTTGTGTCCAGAATTTCACTCTCAAGAACAGGGCACACACATATTATCATGCCTATATTCGCATAGTTTGGGGGTCTTCTTGAAAGTGAAATGATGATCAAAGGCTATGAAGGTTTCAGTGATGTTGCTGCCATTCCACTGTGGAAAGGCCCACAGCCCAAGTTGGGGTATGAAATTCATCACTCTCTCTTCACTTATTTTTTAAATACTATACAAAAAGACATTGCCAAATTAACCTCCAAAAATTTTGGCCTAGGGCCAGATAGAGAGCACAGAGGTATAGCATTTGCCTTGCACATAAATGACCTTGGTTCAATTCGCACCTCCATACATGATTACCCAAGCACTGCCAGGTGTGGCCCAAAAACATTTTCTTGAGGTAGGGGCCGGTTCATTGTTCCACCAACAGTTTGGTTGAATGCCATTTCCTTATATACTTATTGACAATGGATAGCATCATTTAAAAAATATTTCTAGGACCAGCAAGATAGCAGAGAATGTTTTGCATGCTAGAGGCCTGGGTTTTGTCTCTGACACCCATGGTCTCTGAGCATCACCTGGAGTAGCCTCAAACACAGAGCTGAGAGAAGCCCCTGAATGCCACTGGGTTTAGCCTACAGCAAACAAAAATATCAAAACAAAAATCTATGCAATTTAAGTGATACTTAAATTATTCCTATGTTTTGCCCACTTGTTATTATAGTATACTTTTGATCAACTAATTTTGGTGGGGGCACACCAGTTATGCTCTAGGCCTCGTCCTGTGCTCAGAAATCACTCCTAGCTGTGCTTGGGGAACAATATGGGGCGCCAGGGATTGAACCCAGGTCGACTGCATGTAAGGCAAGTGCCCTGCCTGTTGTACTACCACTCTGACCCCTGGTCACTTACTTCTTATTAAACAATGACTGGCTTGATAAAAATAGGCTTGGAATTCGTAGTTTGGAATTCCTAAGTGTTTACCTTCAGGAAATGAGGATATAGAATGTGAGGAAATATCCTCTCATTTTTACTTTATACCATCTTGTATCATGACGAATTTGCATCACTTTTGGGACTAAAACATTGATACAGAGGAACATCACATTAACCATAATTGCTCTATAACTGGGATTCTTATTGGCTGGGAATTTACGTTAGATACATGTTTACATTGATCACAAGTAATTTTTTATTTATATGCAAAAATTATTTATTGAGTGCCTCTAGTTTCTTTCATAGGCCTTTCATCTCAGTCGTCACAACAGACTGGGATGTAGGAACTGACCTCATTGGCAGGGAGGAGATTATTACTGATATACCTCGATTTGCCACATGGTCTCCTAGGCTAAAGGTTCTTATTGGTTGATGACGCATTGGGCATGAGCACTCACTGGTTAGGAGTTTCAATGGGTTGTTCTGAAATGCAATAATCTCATAGAATGTTCCTTCCCTCCCTCCCACTAGGAGTGATGAACAGGGTAGCTGGGATAAGAGCGGAGGAAGGAGCGGTGATTTCTCCCTTGAAAGCACCATTTGAGTTTGCTTTGGTTAGCCCTGCAAGGGGGAGGGCTGGAAACTGCAGGATAGGCGAGAGTGTTTACAAGTCTTCCCGCTTCTTCAGGATGAGCTTCCTCACCAGTGCGGTGATCTGGGGCCTGATCTCCTCCACCGACACAGTTGGATCCCAAGCCCCTACCACCTTGCCATCAGGGGCCACTAGGTACTTCCAGAAGTTCCAGGTGGGCTCCTTCCCAGAAGTCTCTAGAAAAAAAAAGGAAGGAGGGTCAAGTGGCTTTCCCAGGTACCCTCTCCTGGGTCCCACAATCAGTGTCCAGCTTTCCCCTGAAGCTGTGGTTCCATGAGTGAGAATTAACTAAAGAGCTTTTGGGTTGGGGGCTGAGGGTGAGGATCACCTGGCTGTGCACAGGGCTTTACTCCTGACTCTGTGCTCAGAGATCACTCCTGGCGGTGCTTGGGGGACCATAAGTGGTTCCAGGGATTGAAATGGGGCAGACTACATGCAAGGCAAGTGCCTTGGCCTCTGTGCCTTCTCTCCGGCTCCTTACTGGAGATACCCAGGCCACATTCCTGACCCTGTAAGTCAGAACCCTAGGGGTAAAGAGGAAAGATTGGGGCAGGAGGTTTTTTTAAGAGCTCTTGGAATTTGAATGTGAGGTCAAGACTGAGAACTATGCTTTAGGAAATGCTTGTAAGGCAAGATTATATAATTTATTAATGACCTCAAGCTACTGAAGATTCTGTGCTCCACTCTCTAATGAAATCTAATCTTTCCCCCAGGGTTAGTCCATGGACTGGCTGCATTTGGGTCATGGCGGGGGTGGGATGGGGGGGTACAGATTTGAAGGATCTGCTTGAGTATATCTCACCAAATGCATTTTAAAGCACTTCCCAGGTGCTTTTAAAGAATGGCCAGGTTTGGTTTATAACCATGGGAACAGGGAAGAAACTAATAAAAATACAGAGTATAGAAAAAGAGCAAATTGTTAGTATTAACCCACAGAGCAAATTCAAATGACCTCACTAAGGAATCTTTTGTTGGCTATACTGTGAGACAGCAGGGGACCAGGACTCAGGAGGAGCATAGAGAGGGAGAAGTTAAAAATGGAACCTTGACAGCAGGAGAGATAGTGGGGAGGGGAGGGAGCAAGCTTTACACATGGCTGTCCTGGGTTTGAGCCCCAGCACCCCAAGCCCCACCAGGAGTGATCCCTGCGCCCAGAGTCAGGAATAAATCCTGAGCACCACTGGGTGTGACTCCCCACTCCTAGGGGGAACAAAAAAGCCCTGAGCCAAGCAGAAATCAGGGCCTGCGGGAGAAACAGGATCATGACAAGCTTGGCCCGAGACCCCCTTTTTGTGTCTTCTGGGGCTGGTAAAATGGTCAATTTCTGAAATATTAAGATCTGGTGTTTCAGATCAGAAGCTCTCCGCGGGTCTGCAGATTCCTGCCTGCTTCAGCCTCTCAGCCATGTTGGCCGGCCTTCTCCAATCCACGGGTGGCGGCCCCTGTTCGTGCCAGCTTCCTCTCTTGGAATTCACATCACCTAAGAACGCAGGGAGCCACTCCTCTTTCTGGAGTCCCTGCATCTGCAAACAGGCTCCCAGAGAGGTTTGCAAGAGTAACTGAGAGCCAAGCGCAAGGCAGCATTCCCCGGGCAGCGGTGCTGGCAGCACCCGTCAGCCCGTCTTTACAGGTGAGCAGATGGTCTGGAAGGGGCTCCGGGCTCCCAACCAGCTAGCAGCTTCTACTGTCTGGGGGATGGATCGGTACTCACCAGTCAGGTACTTGAAGGCAGGGTGGGCCCCCGTGCCGGTGACAGCGACTTTGCTAAACATGGGGAAGGAGACACTGTATGTGCGGCGGACAAAGCTCTCGATTTCCTTGTTGCTGTCGGGCTCCTGCTGGCCAAATTGGTTGCAAGGGAAGGCGAGCACGTTGAAGTGGTGCGGCCCCAGGTCCCTCTGCAGCTGTTGCAGAGCTCGGTAGTGCTGCTCCGTGAAGCCACATTCGCTGGCCACATTCACCACCAGGGACACCTGCGAGATGAAAAACAAACCCCCCACACCCATATCCCAGTGAAGAGCCAGGCACTAACTTGCACGTGCACCTCCATGTCCCTAGGTAAGTCCCCCCCAACAATGAACACACTCCCTCTCTCAACCCTGCAAGAACACAGTCTGATATACATAAATGTGTGTGCAGTGCCCTCACAAATCCAAATACGCAAAGGCACAAAACATTTCAAATTAAAAAAAAAACAAATTAAAAAATATATATAGCTATCAAATGTGTAGAGGGGCTTACAGATATGTGTGGATATGCAGACATGATCATTCATGAGAAGTATACTGTGTATACACAGGTCATAAAGCTCATGAAGCAAACACGTCCCACGTATGGACAAGCACACATATGGTGAGACACATCAGTTTCTGGCTCACTCAGGGAGCACTTAGCACTCGAATACACACACACGCTATGTGCCTGTGTATGTGCTGATCCCCCTTCTAAGTGCGTAAACGGCTGAGAACACAAGCCATGTCAGCTCCACCCAGCGCCTGACATATGGAAAGTCTCGGAAGGAGTGAGCAGGTGTGGCCACAGACGCAATCCCCTGCATGTGTACATTGATATTTTCTTTCTTGGTTTTGTTTGGCAGCCACACCCACAGGTGTTTAGGGGCTGCTCCCAGAGGTGCTCAGAGACCCTGTGTGAACCCTAGGTTTGATCTCCAGCACCACGTGATCTCCGAGCCAAGAGTAGCACATGCCTGCAGCCACGTGTAGCTCCAGAAGAAAATAAAACCAAGGCCAACCCCTTTTAAACCTATTCCACCAGCAAATAAATACCCACTATCTCCAAGCTCCACCCTTAGGTTTATGATTACTGCCCTATGATAAGTTTATTGTCTTTAGGCGATGAATATAAAGCTGAGTGGTTATTATTAGAGTTTCGGGACCAACGCCAGATTTTTAGCTTCTAATGATATATGATTAAAGGAGTTAAAGTCTTAGCCTGTATCTGGGCGGCCCAGACCCAACACTCTGGTCACTTGTTGTCGAAGATCCAGATTATAGCAGCTGACCTCAGGAAGGCTGAGACCACTGGACATGCATGGGCACGGTCTGCCCGGCTAGAAAGTTTCCCAACCTCAGCACTGCTGAGGTTTTGGATGGGATCCTTTGGAGGGGGGGGCACACCTAGTGATGCTCAGGGCTTGCTTACCAGTGGGTCTCCACTCAGGGGTCACTCTGGTGGGGCTCAGAGTATCATACGGGGTGCCAGGGATAGGACCCGGGTCAATCTCATGCCAGGCAAGCACCCTACCTGCTGTACTATTGCTTGGGCCCTGATCCTCTTGTTCTTAATGGAGACCACCCCAGAGGAGTTGGTAGGGAGGGGGTCCAGGGCCAGAGCCTGGTGGGACAAGCTGAATTCTGGCCTGGTGTATTTGGGGTTTGTTTCTGCCAATATATAATCCAGGGCCTCAGGATACTTTTTTTTTCTTTTTTTGGTCTTGCTTTTGTTTGGGTTGGACCGATAGCACAGCGGTAGGACGTTTGCCTTGAGAGCAGCCAGTCCGGTTGAGCTGGGTTCGATTCCTCTGTCCCTCTCGGAGAGCCCGTCTAGCTACTGAGAGTATCTTGCTCTCACGACAAAGCCTGGCAAGCTACCTGTGACATATTCAATATGCCAACACAGTAACAACAAGTCTCATGATAGAGACGTTGCTGGACCCGCTTGAGCAAATCGATGAACAACGGGAGGGCAGTGCTTTTGTTTGGAGAACCACAACCAGCTGTGCTCAGGGCTTACTCCTGGCTCTGGGAATTTTTTCTTTTTATTTTTTGGGGGGGAGGCCACACCTGGTGGTGCTCAGGGTTTACTCCTGACTCTGTGCTTAGAGATCAATCCTGGCAGTGCCCAGGGGACCATATGGGGTGCCAGGGATTGAACCCAGGTTGGCCCCATGCAAGGCAAACGCCCTCCCGGCTGTATGCTCTGGCCCTTCAGGATGCTTTTGATTGTGAGGTGCCTACCTTGTGAGATGAACCCTGGCCTCTAATCACCAGCCATCTAGTCTGACAGTCACAATGTCTCCAGGCATTCTGGGATTCCAGTGGGAAAGCCTATGCCTAACACATGTGATGCCTAAGTTCTATCCCCAGCTCCACATGACCCCTGAGTACCACTGGCTGTGATCCCCATGAGTCCTTGTCAGCCGGGCCTCCTGCTGCACTGACTGAGCTCTCCAATACCACTGGTGGTAGTCCCTATAAAATTCAACCCATCCACACACATTCTCTCTCTCTCTCTCTCTCTCTCTCTCTCTCTCTCTCTCATACATGTATACCACCTCACACTGTTGTCAAGTATATTCCTAAGTGAATGCTGTTTCTTCCACACTCCACACTGATCTAATGACTGTTTTCCCGCTTAGAGGGAGAGTTTAAACAGTCCACCAAGCTTGCTCATGGCTATGCTGCCAAGACCAGACCCAGTGCCAGGCATGAAGTAGGAGTCAGTACATTTTCTTTCCTGAAATTCTTTTATTGTGGTAAAATACACATAATGAGCCAATACAGATTCGCAGATGAATGAATGACCGTATTGTCCGAGTGGCAGACCTACCTGGCCCACACCATCATAACACACATAGGCAGCTTCTGTGGGCTGTAGAACAGGCTTGTAAAGATATGGATTCCAGGTGGGCTGCCTGAGTTCAAACTATAGGCAGTTCAGGGGCTTTGTTCTATTTTTGTCCTCCCACTTACTACTGCTGAGAATTATCTTGTTCACTTCACTTTCCCTTTTTATTGTCTCTCTCCTCCCTACTTCCCAGAAGTTCATGAAAGTGGGACCCTTTTGTGTTGTTCACCATTGCATCCCTGGTCTAGGATTTGGCATACCATAGGAACTCAGTAACAAATAATGAATTGATGAACAACGGGATGGTCAGGTGCTAAAGCCAGGGCTCTCTAGTAAGCTCCACAGGAGGGAGGGGGTAGCCTGCCTGGGAATAGGCTCCGCTCTTTGGGATCTCTGTCCTGAGGCTGGGATGGAGCCCATCAACTTCAGGGACTAGGCTGCCAAATGCTGCATCTCAGTTGAAGTCTGCAGTACCTTGGGGAAGAATCATGGCAAGGATTACGCCCCTCCCTAAACCACCACCACACATATACACACCTAGGCAGGGAGGGAATGCTGGCTTCACAACAGGTAGCCTTGCTCCTAAGAAAAGAATGCGAACAACCAGGGCCAGATAGTACAGCAGGTAGGGTGCTTATCTTGCACATGGCCTGGGTTCGATCCCCAGCATCCCATATGGTACCCTGAGCACTGCCAGGAGTGATCCCTGAGTGCAGAGCAAGGAGCATCACCTCTGAGTTTTGCCAGGTGTGCCTCCCTGCCCCCCCCCCAAAAAAAGAATGCTAACTGCCATTTTGTGGGGTTCATCCAAACCTAGATTCAGGGCTTCCTTATCCAGTAGAGACAATCCCCCCACCCCAAGGCCCTAGTTTCACTGAGTGGAGGGTTCTTCATTACACATGTGGCACTGAGGCATCTGAATGACATGTTCTAGGCCTCTGTAGCCCCTCACAAGCCCCACAGCCTTATCTTCCATCACCGCCTCAAGCTTTATACTCCTCCAGGTTCAAAAGCTGGCAGTCCCAGCATCCCGATCTCCACTCCCTTAGTGTTGTTGTTTCGTTATTGTGCAGGCAAGGCAAGCCCTCTACTGCAGAACTTCAAGCCCTGCCCCTCCACCACCCTTCCTGTACAGCTTGCCTGAGTCAAGGCATGGATAGGTCCGTGGCCTGGAAACTTCTTTACTTTCTCTGAAAAGACTCAACCAGATGCACTTCCTCTCTCCCACTCTCTCAAGTTCCCTCTGAGCTGCGACTCTCAGTCTGAGCTTGGCGGGAGCTGCGATTCTCCCGCGTTTGGTCCGTGCTTCCGAGTACTGTGGAACCCTGTGCGGACACCAGCCTTCTCTGGGCCTCAGCATCCTCACTCGAGGATCACCCACGCGCGGTCCCCGTGAGGTCCTTTGACCCACGCGCGGTCCCCGTGCATCTGAAACCCGACGTTCGTTTCTACCGCGCTGGCGCTGGACCGGGTCAGCGCAGCGCGGTGTCGGCCCTGGACCGGGTCAGCGCAGCTCGGTGTTGGCCCTGGGCCGGGTCAGCACAGCGCGGTGTCGGCCCTGGGCCGGGTCAGCGCAGCGCGGTGTCGGCCCTGGGCCGGGTCAGCGCAGCGCGGTGTCGGCCCTGGGCCGGGTCAGCGCAGCGCGGTGTCGGCCCTGGACCGGGTCAGCGCAGCGCGGTGTCGGCCCTGGACCGGGTCAGCAGCAGCCGGGCTCCCAAAGCGGGCCGGGCCAGAGACAAAGGCCGCAGCGGGCGCTGGAGACAAAGGCTGGCCCGGGTCCTGCGGCCCTGGGCGAGGTCCGCGCTGCCGGGGAGGGACTCGGCGGGGGCTGCGAGGGTTTCGGGTTTCACGGCGGTGCCACGTCGTCGTGGTGGCGGGCGGCACTGACCGCTGCAAGTGACCGGCCGCGGGACCCGGGGGCGCGTGGGGGTGGGGGGGGGGCAGGGGCCCGGGACGGGGCTGCGGGGCGGCCCGGGCGTCACCGTCGGGGCGCCCCCCGGCAGGCGCGGGCCCCGCGCGGGGACACTCACCGAGCCGCGGTACTTGTCCAGGGCCACCAGCTTGCCCCGGATGTTGACCGCCTTGAAGCCGTAGAAGTCCTGCTCGCGCTGCGCGCAGGCCGCGGTCCCCAGCAGGAGCCACGCAGCCGCCGCCACCGCCGCCGCCGCCGCCCCCATGGCTCGGTCCGAGGTGGCGGCGCTGGGGCGGGAGGGGACCGGGCGGGCCGGGCCGGGCCCGCGCGCGGGGGGCGGGAGGAGGCGGCCCTGGAGCCACCGGACCCCGCGGGGCGGGACGCGCCCCCCTTTGCCTTCTAGGTCCCGGCGGGGGCTTGCCGGGCTCGGTCCGTAGGCCCCCCACGCCCCCGGTCCCCGAGCCAGGCTTCCAGGGCTCACACCGGGCAGGGGGGCTTCCGCGATGCTCCCTCTGGTTTGGGGGATACCAGCAACCAGGACAAGGGAGGGAGGAAAACTCCATGGGAGCTTTTATAGCTGCTCCAAAGCAGCCAAAGAGGTGCCACTTGGCCCGGCCTCGATCTCCCATCTGTGCCCTGCAGCCTCCCTCCCCAGGGGATGGATGTGAGGTGGAGCAATGCCAGCGGAAGGATTGCCCGCGACGTTCAGGTGAACATAGGTGAGGGCCTGGAAAGGCAGAGCCTGCCTGGGGTCCAGAAAGCTGTGCTGGGGACAGGGGTAGCATGGTTCTGAGCTGCACCCTGGGGATGACGGGCTGGGGCAAGAACTGGAGTGGACACAGGCCCCCAGCCCAGTGCAGGCCCAAGGAGCTCTGTTGGGCTTGGTTTTGTTTGAGGGAGCACACCCTGTGAGATTCGGGGGTGTCTTGGCGGTGCTCAGAGGCCCATATGCAGTGCGGGGGAGGTTTACAGCCATCCTGCCCTGGGTCCTATCTCTCTGACTCCCGCATAGAACTCGAATATATTAGGCAGTGGCCTGTCCAAGTTGTACCCAGATGAGCCCAAACTACCAGGCCAGACTTTTGTATCCCAGATGCGGTCAGCCCTTAGATGTGGTCCCACCTGAGAGGGGTGTGCCAGGAGCCCTGGGGTGCTGTCTCTGGAAGCAGGGACAGTTTTCTGCTCTTCCTTTGATCATGCTCCTGGCAGCTGAGGGTGCCAGTCTTCGTCGAGGGGAATCTGGGCCTTTTTTCAGTGTCTCTCAGGAAACCCCTGTTGAGCCCCCACTAAGGGTCAGTCCAGCTGGGTATTGATTCTCACCGGCTGGCAAGAGAAAGGCAGGTAAGATGGAGATTCCTGGTGCAGGGCAGGGCAAGAGCATCCCAACTTCCTTCTGCAGACGCTACTTGCGCTCTGCTGAACACCAGGTTTGCTCTAGGTGTTTCTGCTGCAAATAAAATCAGGGCCTCCAGGTAGCTGACATGATCCGGAGAGGAGAAAGAAGGTTACTTTCTCCTGATCCATCTCTGCCATCCCAGGATCGGCTGAAAGGCTGGGGCTTCTAGGCCTTTGTCTCTCTCACAGAAAAGAATTTCAGGAGTAGGTGAGCAGTGAAGTAAAAAAGATTTTACTTGGAGGTTTTGAAGAATGGGAAGGAAGAAGAGAAAAGTGAGGGTTAGCTGTTCAAGAGAGAACGAGGGAGTCTCCAATGCCAGAGAGCATCCTGGTACACATTCCAAGAGGGGAGATGCGGGCAACACATGTGCTTGGCCACATGGGCACAAGCAGCACGTGGGCTAGGGCAGCATATGCGCACACTTCCTTTGTTCAAGGTGGCTTTTCTAAAGTTTTACCAAGCTGCCCCATGTGAGGCTTCTGGCTAAATAAGAGTCTATTGCTATGGCGGTTGCCAAGGAGGTACGTTAGGGAGTGGTCGATGATCTTCTTTGGAATTCCTTTCCTTGGGATGTGTTCCTGCAGGAACTTCTCTCAGAGCAGGGATCCAGCCCGCTGTGGGTCTGTTGGCCAGGTCTTCTCAGGTCCGAGTCAAGTCTCATCAGGCCTTGATTCCTCTGTCCTCAAGGTGGGATTTTGGCAGCTGGGATGCTGTTGGTTTTATTGCTTCTTAGGAGTTCCATTGCCATGGGCCTCTCTTCCTGCCTACATCACAAGGATGGACAAGACGCTCAGTTCCTACTCAGGAGGAGAAACGGATATCAAATAATCCATTAAAAAACTCTGAAATGACTGTTAGAGGGCAGGGAGTAGGGCTTCCCAGCAGAGGGACCAGATCTGGGAGCTGAACTCTGAAGATACAGGAAGAAATTAGCCTCCGAAAGCAAGGCACAGCTGAGCGAAAGTGTAGTCGGTAGGGCACTTGCCTGCTACACAGCTCCACAGGTTCAATCTCCAGTACCCCATATGCTCCCCGAAGCTTATCAGGAGTGATCCCTAAGAGCAGAGCTGGGGTAGGCCCTGAACGCCACCTGGTGTGGTCCAAAACAACAACAACAAGAGAACAACAACAAGAAGAGAACAAGTATAGCAGCCCTGAGGGAGAGAGAAACAGTGGTTCATGCAGAAACAGCAAAGGATGTCTGGGGCAGGTGGAAGGAAACGGATGAGGTCACACAGAACCTGTTGACCACAGTCAAGATGATGGTCTCTAAGACCAGAAATGAAGGGTTTTGTGTTTTCTGTTTGTTATTTAAAGCAGAGGAGTGGCAGCGATCCTACGTGGTGGAAGGAAGTGGCAAACACAGATGCGCTGCAGACTCTGAGGCCCAGGGGCATTGCTAAACCAGCAGTCCAGAGAGTGTTCAGACAGTAATGGCGGAGACACATGTGGTCCTGGAAGAGGGAAGAGCACTCTCCAGTTTGGGCATAACTGAGACAAAAAATGTCAGACTTGAGGAAGCAGTGTCTAGGAAAGCACGGTGCTTGATTATTGGGGTCATGAGGGGCACGGGGAAGAGGAGGTTGGAGGGGACATCAAAGGTCAGATGGAGAAGGATCTGAAGCGCCCAGCCAAGGAAACTTATTTCTAGAACCAAGCTTTTTAAGCTGTGGGTCGCAATCCCCATGTAACTGAAGATGAGGGTTGGGGGAAAAATTGGCTATAGGTAAAGGTTTCTGAATATGAAACAACCAAGTTTTAATTTGAAATCAGACGTATAATCAATCCAATGTGTTTCTGACTGTGCTCATTCTTTTTTTTTTTCATTTCCCTTGTGAAAAGGTATCATGAGTGGGAAAAATTTAAGCTCTGCTTTATGAATGGGGCTAGAGCGATTATACAGGGATTAAAACTCATGCCTTGTATGTGGCTGTCATTCCAGAAAAAGTATGGGAACAATTGAAAAGCGGAGTCTTCTTTCGCAGTGAAACAACTAAAGTTGGCCAGAACCAACTGAGCTGGAGAAGAGAGGTGAGAGTGGGGGTTGGTTTTCTGCCCGGCAGAGTAGAGTGACTTAACAGCTTCTACATATTCTAGTAGTTTTCCAGGAAACTGATGCATATTCATAAGAAGAGCAGGGCACATGCAATTGAGGAACACAGAATGAACATATGTCACATGTATAGAGAATGGCAGAGAAATATCATCAGGGTTATTTTTTTAGGATAGTGGTGAAGACCAAAGAGACTAGAGGCCAAGAAAGACTCTAGGAAGTAATCTCGGCTGTCTACCGAGAAACTCTAGGTCCTTATCAGTGCAAAAGTGTCCTTAGTGACCAGGAGGATGGCTCCATGGCTTGGAAACTGGCCTCACATGCTGGGGGAAAAGGCAGCTCAGATAGAGAAGGGACCACCAAGTAAAGGATGCTGGGAGGGCCCACTCAGGATGGGAGATGCATACTGAAAGCAGACTATAGACCGAGCATGATGGCCACTTAATACCTGTATTGCAAATCACAAGACCCAAAAGGAGAGAGTAAAATGGAATGTACCTGCCACATAGGGGCAGGGTGATGGGGGAGAGGGATACTGGGAAATTTGGTGGTAGAGAATGGGCACTGGTGGAGGGATTGGTACTCGATCATTGTATGAAACGTAAGCACCGAAGTTTAAATGTCAGTAACTGTACCTCACATTGATTCACAAAATAATAATAATAATAATAATAATAATAATAATAATAACAGCAAAAATATTATATATCCTTAAGGTACAGAGCCAGTAGAATACTGTGTGGCAGCTTCTCCCAGACAGAGATGGCCACACCCTCCCACCTGCAAGCCTCAGGCCAGCCTGTGTAAGGTTTCTCTCCCTTACCAGAGTCCTGAACTATCAGGGGGGCAAGAGAAGAAACAAATTTGTAAAAAGCTTTGACACTGAAGACCTGGGTTCAATTCCCAGTACCACATGGTGATTGGGATTGGGGACCTGCCAGGGTTTGTGGTCTAGCCCTCACTCAAGGAATGAGAAAGTCCCAAAAACTGTTTACTAAAGGTCTGGAAGGAATAGTACGGCAGGTAGGGCTTTTGCTTGCAAGCAACTGACTGCGTTCAATCCCCAGAATCCCATATGGTCCCCAGAGCACTGTCAGGAGTAATGGCTAAGTGCAGAACCAGGAGTATCCCCTGAGTACTACCAGGTGTGGCCCCCAAAGCAAACAAACAAACAAAACTTAAAAAACGGAGGCAGGCAGCAGGCGGAACCTTTCACAAGAGGGAAGAGATGGGCGATGTTGACTGCCCACGGGCGGTGTGGGTGAGTTTTTCTAGATAGTGCTAGGATTCTGCAGGGAAGGCAGGAGTTGGCTCAGAGCATACAGAAAGCCATCAGTGGCTCTGCCATGTCTGGTGTGCCCTTGGGCGGCTGCGGTGCTTCGCAGGTTGTCTTCAGCACAGGAAACTTCTAGCAGGGTGACAAGTTCCTTGGTTTTTTGCGGTTTTGTCATGTCAGACAGGTCTTGATTTCCTGTCTGCCCCTTCCTACCCATCCCTGTTCCTGCTCTCAGGATGGTCCTCCAGCATGAAAGGTGCAGCCCTGGAGGTCCCCTGAAATCCAGGGGGTAGCCCAGGTGACTCCACAGCACCTCAGGACACTGTCCTTGCAAAGAAGCCCTGCTCAAACCTGTGCTGGCCAACGTCACAGAGCACTGTCCAGAAGATGGAACCCAAGCCCTCAGATTTAGAGCTCAGGCTCTTTCTACAACACCAAGGAAACCTCAGACATCATCCTGACGGGGGTCAGAGGCGGGTGGGGGTGGGAGAACAGGGACAGGAGCTGGGGCCCCCAGACAGGGCCTGAGGCAGATAAACAATACCTCTGTCCTTTTGCTGGTCTTCTCTTTCCT